ACTGATGTATGATGTCCCAGTGTCCGTGAGCTCATCTAGGTTCTCAGATGCAGCTTCAAAAACAGTCCAATCAGTGGAGTCAAAACAATCCTGCAGTTCCTGCTTTGCTGCGTTAGTCCACTTCTTCACAGTTTTGACTACAGGCTTGGCACGTTTGAGTTTTTGCCTATAAACTGGAATAAGATGGACCATGCAGTGATCAGAATGTCCCAAAGCTGCCCGGGGCACAGAGCGATAGGCATCTTTTAGAGTGGTGTAGCAGTGATCCAGTATGATGTTGTCCCTGGTGGGGCAGTCTATATGCTGTCTGTATTTAGGGAGTTCGTAGTTTAGGTTTGCTCTGTTAAAATCCCCAAGAATAATTGTAAAGGAATCCGGGAATTTCCTCTCCAGGGTAGTAATCTGGGGCCTGTTCTTCGTACCTCGCTAAGTAAGTTAGCTGGATTAGATTGTTGACGATTTTGCGTGATCCTGGATCGTTCGGTTCCCCGAAGCTCATCCGGGACTTGCTGTCATAGCAACAGAGCCATAAGCGTAAACCTGCTCGGGAGCAGGTTTACTTTATGTAAACAGGATTAGATCGCGGCCACGCAGGTATGTCCGCTTCATTTATACGAAAGCAACAGCGATATTCCACCACTGTTTCACCATAAATAAATAACATCAATGTAACTAAAGATAATGCAGCACTTGATCCTTTTATTGATGTCACACAGATACATACAGGTCATTTCCTAAAAAAGGGAAATGTACTATTAACATTCTATTACATGTATGTGATTATTACAGATGTAATTCATATTTCAGAGTAGTAATTGTAAATTACTTCGTGTAATCAAGATGAGAGACCACGGCTATAAAAGCGAAGGTGGATTTGGGAAGCCTGTCGCAGCCATGTCCTGTCCGTATACACGAGCCACCCATTGCGGAAGGTGCAAGATTGATAAGGAGAGTCCTCAGAATTCAGCGTATATTGCGGGATAGACAGGATCCTTTAGCTCAGCGCGACAGTGTGCTCATTGAGAGACATCGATATTCCCGTGAGGGTATTATTTACTTAACCAACTTGTTGACGAGGGGGTGCAGGACCACCACCTGTCTTTTTTTCCTCTGCCCTTTTCTTGGTTGCTGTTATGAACAAACTAACAGAGTATTACAGGCCAGTATTACCTTGCCAAGAGACGAAAAGCAATCTAAGAGATAAATATTACCATTCTGTAGAATACTCCTGTATTCCACTTTTACTTGTTCCCATGTTCTTGTGGGTCCTGTTGTGGCTCTAATGTGAAAGGGGATATAATATAACATATTATAATATAATATAATGCCATATGATATTGGACAATATAGTGTCATATGATAGATCTACCCTACCGCCTACTGGTGTTGGCCAGAGGGGCCGATGGCGCGATATGGCAGCCTGGCTACAACCGTAGCTGCCTCCACCAGTGTGTGAATGTGGGAGTGAATGAATAGTGGTATCGTACAGCGCTTTGGGTGCCTTGGAAAGCGCTATATAAACCCAATCCATTATTATTATTATTATTAAATTACCTACGAGTTTGATTTGTCAGCAACTTTCTGCCAGCCCTCTCTCCTTGCTTCTGCAGCCTTTGCAGTGTTCTCTTGCGTTTTAATTAAACTCTGAAACTCCTGAAATCCCTCACTCATGAGTTCTTGCTCTGCTGCCGGAAAATACCGTGCACGCCCCTTCGACATTTTCGCCGACCAATCAGCAGGTTGCCGATCAATGTTTCTACTATCGATGCGTAGCCCCTTTTACGACACCCAGTGATGTCACATTACTGCGTCCAGCTGTACTAATCGTCAACAGCAGGTGTGTTCGGGGAACCGGATTAGCGAGCTCACGGTTAGCGCGATGGTTTGGTCTTGGATGTGTCATTTGATCTTGGATGTAGTAAGCAACGTACGAAGAACAGGCCCCTGGTCAGCCAGCTCGCACAGTGCGTTGTTTGCGTTGGCCTGTGGAGGGATGTAAACTCCGACCAGCATGAAGGAAGAAAACTCCCGCGGTGAATAAAAAGGTTTACAGTTGATGAAAAAACTTTCCAAGTGTGGGCTGCAGTGTTTCTGTAACACTGTGACATCAGTACACCAACCTTCATTAATGTAGAAGCAGACTCCACCACCCTTTGTGTTCCCTGAGAGCTCTGTTTCGCGGTCCGCCCGGTGAAGTTGGAAGCTCGGCAGATTTAAGACAGCGTCTGGGACTCGCTCACTGAGCCAGGTTTCAGTGAAGCAGAGGGCAGCAGAGCGTGCAAAGTCCTTGTTAGTCCGGTTTAAGAGCAGTAATTCGTCGACTTTGTTTGGAAGAGAGCGGAGATTCGCAAGGTGAATGGAGGGGAGTGCTGTGCGGAATCCTCGCCAACGTAGTTTCACCAGCGCGACTCCCCCGTCTACGTCTTCTCCAGGAGCCACAGAGAGCTGCTGCACCTCCAACTAAAATCTCCAAAAAACTTTCCAGGTTTGTGAAAAATGGATAAGAACTATAGTGAGACGACTGCCTGATGTTTAGCAGTTGATCTCTGGAGAAAGTGATGTGGTCTGAGTGACCAAAAGCGCAGAAAATAAACAGCATCTCAAATAACTACTCATTTCAACCAAGGTATGTGGAAGAGCTTAACAGTATGCACACTACACATACTGAAGTTTAAACACCACACGGGGTGCCACTCCAGTCAACTTAGAACAGGAAATCACCTGGTCTTGATTTCTGCTTCAACATTCAGATAGTAGGCTCAAAATCTGGTGTAAACAACATAGAAAAGTGCATTTGGAGATGGGCAGGATCCCTTAGTAACAAAAGTGAAAAAAAGAGAAAAAAGAAAAACAAGGGATCTAAAATTAAACCTTGAGGGACACCCCAGTTAATTCTATAGCTGTTGTATGATTGATCCTCCATACGAAGAATTCTTAATTAGTGAAACATCATAAAGTGAGCCTTCCTTTCACTACTACGTTTTCTCTGAAGCGCTCCTTTTCTCCAACTTTGCTGTTGGCTAAACTAGTGGCATTTAAGAGCATAGTGTTTGGGCATATGGAAAATTGCATAATGATATTATGCCATTACCTGATGATTACTTAATACTGTATCTTAGAATTGTAATGGAAGCCCATTATGCAGGTTAGTTGTTGTCAGAGATGGGCAGTAACGCGTTACTGCCGATTACTTAAGTAATCCGATTACTCTTTTCAAGTAACGAGTAAAGTAAGGGATTATTATTGAAAAAATGACTCTGCGGTGGTTGGATGCATCAGCAGGGATGATGAGACAGAGTACCGGGCTGTGGTCGACTCCTTTGTCACGTGGTGTGAGCAGAATCATCTGCAGCTCAACGTGGCAAAGACCAAGGAACTGATCGTGGACTTCAGGAAGACCAGGAAACACTTGACCCCTGTTTCAATCCAGGGGGTCAGTGTTGACATTGTGGAGGACTATAAATACCTTGGAGTACACATTGACAATAAACTGGACTGGGCTAAAAACACCACAGCACTTTACAGGAAGGGCCAGGGTCGTCTCTATTTTTTGAGGCGACTGAGGTCCTTCAACATATGCCAGAAAATGCTGAGGATTTTCTATGAGTCTGTTGTGGCCAGTGCAATCCTCTAAGCTGTTGCATGCTGGGGGAGCAGGCTGAGGGTCGCAGATGCCAACAGACTCAATAAACTAATCTGTAAGGCCAGCAATGTTGTGGGGATGGAGCTGGACTCCCTCAAGGTGGTGTCGGAGAGGCGGATGCTGTCCAAGATAAAGACAATGTTGGATAACACCTCCCACCCACTCCATGACATGCTGGTCAGTCACAGGAGCTCGTTCAGTGAGAGACTGAGATTACCAAAAAGCACCACTGAACGACACAGGAAATCTTTCCTGCCTGTGGCCATCTCCCTGTACAACGCATCCACTTAACACACTGTTTGCTGCTATAACTACACGTTTCTTTTTCAGCTATTTATTTATGAGTGACTTATGTATGTATGTATATATATGTATATATTGTACTATTCTTAGTTAGTGTATTGTCTGTCTTGTCTTAATGTTGGTTTATAATGGAGCACTGTAACAAAAAATAATTTCCCCCAGGGATCAATAAAGTATTCCGATTCTGATTGAAAAAATGGTAATTAGATTACCGTTACTTTTCCGTAGGAATGCTGCGTTACTGCGTTACTAAAACCGTGATTTTTTTGTGTGAATGTCGCATGACAGTGACGTAAGCAATTGCAACGTTCCTGACAACAGCTGTGTGCAGATCAACAATGGATAATATATCGAGTGCGGGAGAGAGTATGAGCGTGCAGCGTTTAAAGTGTGGAAGTACTGACCTTACTTTAAGTTTGATTCCATAAAAAGTGACAAAAACATTAGCGTCCATTAGCATTGTGCGTGGGAAGAAAACATTTTTTTACAGCGAAAAAAATCCCCTAAACTTCCAAGCAAGCACCGAGTGCGCTACGATGTAATGGGGAATTCACAGAAAAACTCGTGGATTCTTCAACTGACCTCTGCGGCACACCTGCACCAGGGTAAACCTCCGCCTACCTCACTCCTGCTTTACAGGTGAAAATAGAGCAAAAGGACCGCTAGTCTTTGACTTTATTTATTTTGTGCTGTGTTTTACTTGCATCTATTTGCTTGATTCATAAAGTTAAAAGACTAAAACTAATAAAACAAGTTTTAAAAAGAGACTTTTCCATTTGATTACATTTTGTATGATGGATTATATAGAAAAAGTAGAATTGGGCTGAAAGATCTATCGCTTTATCACCTATTCAGGTTGTAAATAGTGTTTTTAAAAAGTAACTAAGTAATTAATTACCTTTGAAAATAAGTAATCAGTAAAGTAACGGGATTACTTTTTTTGGGGAAGTAATCCATAATTAGTTACTGATTACTTTTTTCAAGTAACTTGACCAACACTGGTTGTTGTTAGTTGTAAAGAAACGTGGGCCAAGAAAAAACTTCGTACAGGATCTGATTGCACAACAGTCACCATTTATGGACAAACAGAAAATAGCAGAAGCAACTAAAAAGCAAAAACTGAAGTTGGAAGATTCCAAAATTTGGGAATTGTAACATTGTTTAATGTCATTGTGAGTCATTTATTTGCAAAGCATGTTTTTTTCCGCAGTCATTCAATCTTGTCCTGAAAGAAAAATTGTTTTTTTCCTCATGTTTTTTGCTGTAGCTATACGTGGTCCTCATCACAACCTGGTCTCTGTTCTCGTTTCCTCTGCAAAGGATTTCCCACAGACGGTGATGGCTTTAAACTCCTCTGAGATCTCCAGCAGGGTCTTGCCTTTAGTCTCAGGCAAAAGGAAGAAGGTATAAAGACTACCCAGCATGCAGGCAGAGGCAAACAGCACAAATAAGTACGAGCTGAGAGCATCCTGGGAAAGAAACGTCATTCATGATTTCAGCATAACATATAGATCCCTGTGGGTGTTATAGTGTAATGCGCTGCTTATTTTCAGTTTGGTCGTACGTACAATGAGGAATGGAAAGACCAGGCCCATCACTGCAAACATAAACCACCCCTGCAGCCCTGTGAGGACGAGTGATGCCATTCGATTAGACTGAATGAAGAGCTCACTGTTGAGCGTTGGTGTGGCTCCTCCTGTGAGAATCAGAGAAAGAACAGGGAATTGACCTTGTTATCTTTGCATATAGACACGTTTTCCATAACTGCTACAGGTGTGATGTACTGGATACTAAAAACGTTACGCTACATACAGTATGTATAAGTGCTTTATGCTTACCAGGTCCTCCACAAAAGAACACGATGAAGACAACCATCAAACTCACAGTAATGTATGGAACCCAGTAGCTGGAATCCTGTGTGAAAGACAGTTTTAAATGCATATATTTGATTTTGCATCAGATTAATTTCTATATTTCTGCCTTTTATCATCACAGCAGTGATAGCTTATACACATTTTCCCCTTTATGAAACAGGTCATCTTCAGTCATATTGGCAATATTGTTACTAGTGTACTTTCCAGTGAAGGCTACACAGACAGTTGTTGTCCCAACCGTCACAGACATGTACACCTCCAGATGCAGGAAGAGGCCTACCTGTATCATGAAGGACCCCACTCACCAAGCACACACACTCTTTGTCCTGCTCCCCTCAGGCAGGAGGCTGAGGAGCATTAAATGCAAAATACTAGACAGAAACAGCTTCATTCCAGAAGCTGTGAGACTTCTCAATGCATAAATGGACAAGAACTGTTATACTACTGATACTTTACTGACACCATCACTTTATTAATGCTGGTCATCATGCCCTCTTGCTGCTAAAATGTTTATACCTATATTTCTATATTTATACTCCATACTGGTACTCAGGTTGTTGCACTCTACTTATATTGTATTATTTCATTACTTGCTATTTGTTAGTTTCTTCGTTATTCTGTTTCTTTTCCCTTCTATGGATAACCGGGACCGTGTGTACGTAATTTCATTCCACCTCATGTAAACGTGTTGCAAATGAAAAGAAAACTTCCTTGATCCTTGATCTTGACGAGTAGAAACGGTGTCATCTGTGATTTTCCAGTCTTTAGGTTTTGTTTAGGTGCCTCTCCTGTGTTCCGTGTTATGCCCACTCTGTGCCTTCCTGTGCCAACGTTTCAGGTCTCTGTGTTCATGTATTTCCTGTTTTACTTTGAAAGTCCGTGTTTTATGTCAGTGTATTCTGTTTTGCTTCCTCCCTGTCTCATCACTTCTAATTAGGTTCAGCTGTATCTCCCTCCTATTCAATTTAATTCAATTCAATTTTTTTTATATTGCACCAAATTACAACAACAGTCAACTCAAGGAACATCCTGTTTGCATTTCCATCGTTACCTTGTGTGTATTTATTGTGTGTACTTCCCTTTGTCCCTTGTTGGTCCGTCTGCTTGTTTTCTTCCATGTTGCTTCTGTATTTCTTCCGTCAGCTTTACCCGCGTTTCCTGGTCTCTCTTTTCTGGCCTGTGGTTTCCACCCTCAGGTTATATGTTTATGCATAGTTTTTCCCAGTTTAGGTTTTGCTTAGTTTTCTCTGTTCCACCTGTTTGTAGTTTTTGTTCAGCTGTCCATAAAGGCTCGTTTTTTGTTATCATCCACCCTCGTCTCCGTTTGCCTGCACTTGGGTCCTCAGTCTCTTCACACACCTGACATTTGTTGTCTTTAACAAATCAACTGTTTTTGTTTTGCTTTCTTTACATTGCTTTTACTTTTATTAATATTATGTTGCCCACCACTGGTAATGGTTTACCTTCAGGTTGAGTGTGACAGTGACAAAAATCCAGCAAGCAGACATGACACCGTAACCGCCGAACAGCAATGGTCTTCTCCCTGTGAGGTCAATGAGAAGACCCTGAAATTGAGGAAGGGAGAAAATAATGACAGACTTGTCATAAGAAGATTGTCTCTAATAGTAGAAATGAAAGGATGTATACACTTAAAATGCTCATTTACACAGATGAGCTCAGGCACAGACTGAGTGTTTGCTTACACAGGTGAGCGAGGTGAGAATTTCAGCCACTCCAAGACCGAGAGTGATATAGCGGATCTTCTTCTTTGGTATACCTGCCTCCAGGAAGATGTCATAAGTAAAGGTACTAATCTGGGAAGAAAAGAGGCACTATTAGGCTATAAACAGTCAGCATGAAATCTGATTTATATTTTAGTCTATTCTGTTGATAGAAACTTGATATGGAAGGAACAATGAAGTCTCATATATACAGATATCAATAGATATATTGATCTGTAGTTATACAGATATGTCATGTATGCATGTGCGTGAACCTCCAAAAGTCACAAAATTGTTGTAATGTATCATTTTGCAATTTAGCAATCCTATATCATATATCATATTGTATCATATGGTATTATACTAATACTATATGGTATTGTTCATACTGTAGAAATGCCCGACAGCTGGTTGCAACAGTAGATGATGGAGATGGTGATGACCTGCCATCGGACAGTCCTGTCTCTCAGCAGCTGCAGAAGGCTCACTGGTGGGGCTGCTTCAATGGCTGCCTGCTCAGTCAACATCTCATCCATTTCTTGTTGGTAGTCACCTTGGCCCCACAGACTCTGGAGAGCTGAAACCAGAAAATCCCAAATCACGGAGGGGATAAGAACTGAAAAATGTGCAACTTTGCTCAAATACAAAACACGCAGGGACTGATTGACTTGTAATTTCACAAGACTATCATTTATCTTTAACTAGTATGTGTTTGTAGAACATTTTCATAAACATCTGGGGTCGTGTTTGATACATAAACTGCGCAAAGCTACTAACCTTTTTTGCATGCCTTATCATCACCTTTCTCTATGAGTAAATATCTTGGCGTCTCAGGAAAAAAAGGCAACATCACAATCTGAACAAAGGAGAAAAGTGCAGCGACACTAAGGAGAATGTCCCACGTGTCCTCGCGGCCAAGGATCTCGCTGAAAAATCAAATTGAAATGTTGTGTTTAATTTGTAATCTATTGTCATAATATGCTGCAGTAGCTTTTGACAATGGGTTAAAGCCCATTTTTCTTTTTCATATCAACTTCAGGTGCTTACCTCAACCCAAACGTCTGCCCAGACACTTTCCCGAGTGACAAAAAAGTGGCTAAGGTCAGAGTCACTATCCCTCTTATCTTTCTGGGTGAAATCTCCCCAAGATATATTAAGTGAGTGTTCATTCCCAAGCCTGCAGGTCACATAAAGCAAGCATGGTGAGTATAGGTGGTGAAAACATATTAATAAGGAGTCTGTAGAATATGGCAACTTACCTGCTGAGTAACCAAACAGAAATCTTGCCACAATGATCATTTCGAAAGAGTTGACATTTTTACTTGTCAGCATGAATCCTGCTGCAAGAACAGCAATGAAGCTGTTGCAGATCATTGCCTTTTTTCTGAAGAAGGAAAGCTCATGACTTCAGGTCTCCGTAGGCTATACAGCTTGGTACAACATCTGTCTTCATACTCACCTTCCCAGCAAGTCTGAGATAAATTTGACACTGATGGCACCGAAGAGTCCCCCGACAGCAAACATGGAAACAATAAGAGACCAGATCATTGTGACCGTCTGCGGATGTGGAGGCTCTCCGTATCTGTCATACCAGCTGTTGTTGATGAAGCGCTGGATGTACTGTGGAGATAGATTTAAACTGTTATTAAATGTGATCCAGATAATCGAGACAGAATGGAGAAGAAATGATAAAGGCGACGTGTCTCACCGGCGAAGGAGAACTCAGTCCAGTGATATGGAAGCCGACCTGAAAGCTTCCTCCTAATCCCAAAACAAGGATGAGGAATAGAGCGTTGCCATGGGTCTGAAGTAAAGGAGAGAAATCCGATGAATCACTTTTATAAATGTGTTTACTATCACCTGTAAAGATGCTGCCTATATTTTTAAAGTCACAGTCAAACTTTTGGAGAATGGGTATTAACAAAGATTTCAAACATGTTTAAATGAGTGAGAAAATCTAGATTTTAAAATTGGATTTACTGATTTTTTTTTAAACACAAGTTGTGAATAAAACAAAGATTAGATTAGACTTAAGTTTACCCTGTCTGATTCATAAACTGTAACTGTTTCATTTCTAGCTGTGTCTGAAAGTTCACAGAAAAACAATAATAATCACCTTTTTTGAATCTTTTCATGATCACACCTCAGTCATAGATTGTAATCATGTAAATTTGAGCTCAGTGTCATGTTAGCTGTACCAGCGAAATGGTTTAATAACTGAGAGAGTAGTGTGACTCAGCTGAAACTGTGGTTTAGATAACTCCCCTGAGTTCAGGAAATAAAAAAAATTGTAAAAAATAAATAAATACAATTTAAAAAGAAAATTATCCGCATTACGCATAAAATTAGACATGTGCAATGTGACAGATTTGTCACGAAACATTTTAACAGAAACGTAAATTTTTTTATACATTTATATATAAATATTATATTTAAAATCCACATGTACATATTTACAATACATGTATTAACTTTTATGGCGCAAATATAGGAAAAATCTTACCAGCTGCTGAAACAAAGTTTCCATTCTCTTGATACACGGACCTTAACAGCACATATGTCCTAACAGTGGGGACACAGTTCAGTGTTTCACCCTGCTTATTATTAACTTTTCAGAAATAAAGTAACTTGGTGTCATCACACCACCCTGACAATCACTGGATCATTTCTAACTTGCAGCTATTTCAGACTGAAAACAATATAAACTGAATGAGTTCACAGTCACATGCAAGCTAATGTATAGATTTAACCATAATGTCAAATAAGGACATTATCAGTACATTTTGTGCACAACACTGGTGCTGCATATGTTTTTATAAGTGATTCGTCCTTGTGGTAGGACTCGACTTAAGCGGTCAAAGAAGTGCAGGAGACTGATGCTGCCCAGTGTAGCAAGTGATTTATTCACCATTTTGTGGCCCAAACAATATTTACAAAAAAACAAATAAGAAACTCAACTCTATAATTAACTCAGTTCAAATAAACATAACTGAACTTAAATCAACAGAAATTAAGGTCAAACTGCACACAGCTACACTGACCTGAACCTTTCTCCTCTGAAACACTTCAGAGTTCTTCTGCTTAAATAGTCCACTTAACCAAACAATTTCTCCTCTGGACTATTCCATTCAGTAGGTAGGTAAGATGAACATGATTATATTCAAACCTCTACTACTCCTCTTTACTGGCAACATAAACTCTGGTGCAATCAATACATATTACAACAATAAATCTATCTCTTCATAAACCCTCTAAAATCAACTTTATTAAATTATAAGAGTTCTTCCCCTTCTGCACTTGGTCTCTTCCTGTGACCTCAAATGAACCCAGAAGGTATAAAGCAGGAAGTAAAACTACATTTCCTCCTTTTGTTTCTGCAAGACAGGTAGGTAAGGTAAGTTCTAAACAATACAAATTAACAGTTGAAATAAAGAACATGTTAACTTAACAAACTTGTATGAATTGATTTAAACCAATATGTTATATTATATAATCTGTAAAAGTGCAAAACATAAACAAACCCGGGATAGTAGATGTTTGCCTATCCGGTTGTTCAGTCTGACATCACTAGCCGTGTCTGGGTCTAAACTCCGCTGCAGGTCCATATATCAAACGATCACTGTGGCATTACTGAGAGTTGAAAAACTGTCTAAAGTCTTTCATCTTTAATAAAATGATCAGCGTTCTGCTCTACCAGGTGTAACAATTGAGTTTAACATCCAGGCATCCATGAAAACGGAATTTATGACATTTAACGGAGTTAGAAGTTAGCAGGGAGTTAGCTCGCTAGCTTCTATCTAAATACAATATAGCATGTCCTGACTGCGGGGTTTTGGAAACAAATTAAAACGTACAGCTCTGTTATCACTTCCAGCATAAATGAAGACAGAAAACTAAACAGCAGTGACGTTTGTAGGGTTACTGAAGTTGGGCTAGCTGGTATATAATGATGTGCTACGTGACTGCTAGCGACACAGCTATGTTAGCATAATATAAACAAGCTAACTTTTTTTCCCACTCGATAAAAGTTAACGTGAGTGTTGTTGGTGGTCAGAAACAAATGTAATCGCATGGCAGGATGCTGTAAAAGGACCAAACTTCAGCCAGGAGAACAACTGAGATAATCCATCCACAATACGAGGTTAGTCATTCATATACTGCTGCATGGGCTGGGCTGTAGTTAAATCCTAAGGTTTTAAAAACTGAGCTTAAACAAATGATTAGCGGTCATAAAAGCTGAGGGAGGTCAACAGTGATCACTGACTGTTTTAGGAGCTTTTTGAGATCAAATAGAAGAAAATACATAACATTAAACATGTTAACAACACAAAAGCCATATAACACAAAAGCCACATAAACGCAGACTACTTTAGACCCGGAAGTAGGATTCGTCGCGTCATCACTGAACAACCGGATTGCAGATTACATGTGAAATATGGTTAACTCAAAGCAAGAATGTTAACTAAGAATGTAGACAAATGGTCTTCTCACCCACTTTGTCACAGTCCTATTGCCAGTAGCTTGATTTGTTTTTCTCTCTGTTCCTGTTTCTTCTTATTCTTCTTATTTAAATCACGTGGAAAGATAAACTCTATTATTATCAGACCAGCAGAGTTTAGACGTAGACTAAGAACTGTGGCTGTCTATGAACATTTGAAAAAGGAATACACTCAATAAATTAAAGCAAACACTGCTAGCTATGATTTGCACTGGAAAAACTGTTGAATCTTCATCCTATAGAAGAAGAAACTACTTTTTTTTTTTTTTTTTTTTTTTTGCCTGTTCCGTTTGGCTCTTTTGCCATCAGAATTGTTGTCTAAAGGCAAACAAAGATGCACAACGGATTTACTTTACCAAATTGACCATCCCAGCCTTGCCGTAATGGTCCATTTGATTCACCTTTTATTGTTTATTTTATTTTCACTTACTGAATACGGGACAGACTTGACTGGGGGAAAGAAGGGGAGAAAGAAAGAAAGAGGGAAAGAGAAACAGCTGAGAAGAGGGACGGGGGAGAAGGGCAAAAAACATAAACCAACAGAATGGGTAGAGAAAAAAAAATGCATATATCAATCACCTGCTGAGAAAGAAAAAAAGAAAACAAGCAGAAGAGAACAAGAGTAATAGAATAAACAACATCACAATGATATATGGGAATATGACAGTAAATACTAAATATTAAACATTATTGCGCAGCACATAAGATCAACAGAACACAGTGTGCTTTGAGGTAGGAGCCAAAAAGGGTGTAGTTTGTGGGTGTGATCACCCGTGTGTACACCTGTAAGCATGGACGCGCTTGTTTTTTTGTTTTGTTTTTTAAAGGTTCCTTCATGTAATAATCTGCTAGAGGGTGTGGGGGGGGGCCCACAGCCCCGTCCTCCAGGGCATGAAGCAGGTGTGGAGGAGATCAAAACTCCAGACATCCAGAGGCCCCCAGAATACAAGAGACCAAGGAAGACCAACAGAGGGGCAGCCGCGCCACTGTCCCAGAAAGAGCTGAGCTGTCCCAGATGAGGGTTCACTCAGCAGCCGCGGAGCAGAAGCCAGGGGGAGTTGCAGTGACGCGCCCGTGAGCTCCGCCGGCAGCCAGCCGTGCCTGAGTGACCGAGCCCCAGGCCGAGAGGCCGGGGGCACCCTACCTCCGAAGTGGCCCGAGCGAGCCCCAGGCTCCAGGCCCCGATAAGCGGCCGCCAAGGAGTGAGCCGGTGTGTACCTGGACGCCCATCCCCGGACACAAAGAACCACCAACGCACCGATGTCTGAGGGAGTCCGCCACTGGCAGGGGAAGTGGTGGTAGGGGGAGATAGGCCTCCAAACCTTGGAGGGCCTGAGATGTCCCCAGAGAGGTGGCGCCTGACACCCAACCTGACATATAGACACAGACATACAGGCACACACAGATACAAACATTCATTCCCACCCTCATGCTCTCATATGCACTTACTCCACACTCAACCAACGTGGAGACAGACATAAAGAGACGCTGTACACACGATCACACTCCCCAAGCGTACTCTACGAACCGGGTCTAGGTACCCTTGCCCCTGGAGGGGGGAACTGCACCCAGACCCAGGTGGTGTTACACTTTTCCCTGCAGTGGGGGGAGGCAGACCGCCCCGACTCTGCAGCAGCAGGAAGGCCCCACACTCCAGACCGCAGTCGGACGGCCAACTAAGAAGAAACTTCTTGTAATAATAACAGGCCACCATGGCAGGTAGCGTTGCGTAATTTTGACACAATCCCAAAGAGATCCGTATATCCTCCTAGAATCAATGCTGGGAGCTTTTACTTGTTAGTTACATGTGTACACCACTACACTATGGAGCAAATGTTGAATCTCCAGCTTATACTTAAGCAGTTTGTATTTTTCATTTTAAAATCTACAGTTTTGTGTCAACTAACAAGCAGATTTGTCATCTGCATTTACATTTTAAAAAATCCAGGTAGCCAAAATGTGCAAAATATTCTTTAAGGCAGGCTGACATTGTGACCGACATGTTGGTTTTCTATTAGTTTGCAGTGTCTCACACTTTCATAGTCAGACTCAGCCACTCAATCTATTATGCCTGATTTCAAAGCACCAATATGGCTACTTCATGATGTCCATCCTTTATGTATGGTCTACAGCTGGCATAAGAATACTTCAGTGACATTACCTGTCACAATAGTTGCATGGTGGTGGCTGTAGCTCAGGTGGTAGAGCGGTCGCCTGCTAATCTGAAGCTTGGTGGTGCGATCCCTCCAGTCTGCATGCCAAATATCCTTGAGCATGATAGCTACCCCATTCTGGGGCCCGTTCTTCGTACGTCGCTTACTACATCCAAGATCAAATGACACATCCAAGACCAAACCATCGCGCTAACCGTGAGCTCGCTAATCCGGTTCCCCGAACACGCCTGCTGTTGACGATTAGTACAGCTGGACGCAGTAATGTGACATCACTGGGTGTCGTAAAAGGGGATACGCATCGATAGTAGAAACATTGATCGGCAACCCGCTGATTGGTTGGCGAAAATGTCGAAGGGGCGTGCTCGGTATTTTCCGGCAGCAGAGCAAGAACTCATGAGTGAGGGATTTCAGGAGTTTCAGAGTTTAATTAAAACGCAAGAGAACACTGCAAAGGCTGCAGAAGCAAGGAGAGAGGGCTGGCAGAAAGTTGCTGACAAATCAAACTCGTAGGTAATTTAATAATAATACTAATAATAATGGATTGGGTTCATATAGCGCTTTCCAAGGCACCCAAAGCGCTTTACGATACCACTATTCATTCACTCCCACATTCACACACTGGTGGAGGCAGCTACGGTTGTAGCCAGGCTGCCATATCGCGCCATCGGCCCCTCTGGCCAACACCAGTAGGCGGTAGGGTAGATCTATCATATGACACTATATTGTCCAATATCATATGGCATTATATTATATTATAATATGTTATATTATATTCCCTTTCACATTAGAGCCACAACAGGACCCACAAGAACATGGGAACAAGTAAAAGTGGAATACAGGAGTATTCTACAGAATGGTAATATTTATCTCTTAGATTGCTTTTCGTCTCTTGGCAAGGTAATACTGGCCTGTAATACTCTGTTAGTTTGTTCATAACAGCAACCAAGAAAAGGGCAGAGGAAAAAAAGACAGGTGGTGGTCCTGCACCCCCTCGTCAACAAGTTGGTTAAGTAAATAATACCCTCACGGGAATATCGATATCTCTCTATGAGCACACTGTCGCGCTGAGCTAAAGGATCCTGTCTATCCCGCAATATACGCTGAATTCTGAGGACTCTCCTTATCAATCTTGCACCTTCCGCAATGGGTGGCTCGTGTATACGGACAGGACATGGCTGCGACAGGCTTCCCAAATCCACCTTCGCTTTTATAGCCGTGGTCTCTCATCTTGATTACACGAAGTAATTTACAATTACTACTCTGAAATATGAATTACATCTGTAATAATCACATACATGTAATAGAATGTTAATAGTTCATTTCCCTTTTTTAGGAAATGACCTGTATGTATCTGTGTGACATCAATAAAAGGATCAAGTGCTGCATTATCTTTAGTTACATTGATGTTATTTATTTATGGTGAAACAGTGGTGGAATATCGCTGTTGCTTTCGTATAAATGAAGCGGACATACCTGCGTGGCCGCGATCTAATCCTGTTTACATAAAGTAAACCTGCTCCCGAGCAGGTTTACGCTTACGGCTCTGTTGCTATGACAGCAAGTCCCGGATGAGCTTCGGGGAACCGAATGATCCGGGATCACGCGAAATCGTCAACAATCTAATCCAGCTAACTTACTTAGCGAGGTACGAAGAACAGGCCCCAGGTCTCCAATGCTTCTATCAGATGATAAATAGCAAGAGTTTAGAAAAAGTGCTTTTGTGAATGAGGCAAGTCCATTTACCACTACCATTTGGATTTTAATGAAATACTCCATCATGGACTATTGAAACAAGACGCTGCAGCTCATTACATGAATAGATTCTTTAGTTATTTAGCAAAAGATTTTGGAGATTAGTGTGAACAACGCCACTGTTATTGTGCGATTTGTTAATAATATATCTAAATATTAAAGCTATATACACACCATTCTTGAAAGTACTGACCATTTTCATCACTGTATTCACAGTTTTGCTCTCACTGTAATCAAAGTCAAAGTCAGCTTTATTTAAAAAAAAAAAAAAAAAAACGTGTACAGATCATCCACAGGAATTTTAAATTGCAATGCTCCCACGGCCCTCAGTGTACACTAAAACAACATAAAGATAAAAAGCTAAAAATAAAATAAAAGTCTAAAGCGGGTGCAATAGGTGTCCTGGAGGGAGGGAAAAGAAACACCTACGATCCTCTCCACTGCTCTCACTTCTCGTTTTATCAGCATGTGTAGCTTCCACAAACAGGAAGGGACACAGTGTAAACGTGAAGGGGTGTGTTGTCAAGTTATATTACTTGTTAAGGCAAATATCTAATCAGCAACAGCTCAAGATGGAAGAAAGGTGATTTAAGTGACTTTGGTCTTGTTCGTGCCACACATCAGAGGAGAATGGCCAGACTTGTTCAAGCTGATAAACAAGCAACAGCATCTCAAATAACTACTCATTTCAACCAAGGTATGTGGAAGAGCTTAACACTATGCACACTACACATACTGAAGTTTAAACACCACACAGGGTGCCACTCCAGTCAACTTGGAACAGGAAATACCCTGGTCTTGATTTCTGCTTCAACATTCAGATAGTAGGCTCAAAATCTGGTGTAAACAACATAGAAATGTGCATTTGGACATGGGCAGGACCCCTTAGTAACAAAAGAGCATTGTTTTAATGCCACAACCTACCTGCAAAATGGTACTGACCATGTCCATCCCTTTACGATCAGTGTACCCATCTTCTGATGGTTGTTTCCAGAATCATCTCAAACTGAACATGACAGTCACCAGATCAGGCCAACAGAGCACCTTTGGGGTTTAGTGAAACATCATAAAGTGAGCCTTCCTTTCACTACGACGTTTTCTCTGAAGCGCTCCTTTTCTCCAACTTTGCTTTTGGCTAAACTAGTGGCATTTAAGAGCATAAAAGAAGAACTTTATGCATGTTCTCATTACTAGGATATGTATTTATGTTGGTGTTTGGGCATATGGAAAATTGCATAATGATATTATGCCATTACCTGATGATTACTTAATACTGCATCTTAGAATTGTAATGGAAGCCCATTATGCAGGTTAGTTGTTGTTAGTTGTAAAGAAACATGGGCCAAGAAAAAACTTCGTACAGGATCTGATTGCACAACAGTCACCATTTATGGACAAACAGAAAATAGCAGAAGCAACTAAAAAGCAAAAACTGAAGTTGGAAAGATTCCAAATTTTGGGAATTGTAACATTGTTTAATGTCATTGTGAGTCATTTATTTGCAAAGCACGTTTTTTCCACAGTCATTCAATCTTGTCCTGAAAGAAAAATTGTTTTTTCCCTCATGTTTTTTGCTGTAGCTATACGTGGTCCTCATCACAACCTGGTCTCTGTTCTCGTTTCCTCTGCAAAGGATTTCCCACAGACGGTGATGGCTTTAAACTCCTCTGAGATCTCCAGCAGGGTCTTGCCTTTAGTCTCAGGCAAAAGGAAGAAGGTATAAAGACTACCCAGCATGCAGGCAGAGGCAAACAGCACAAATAAGTACGAGCTGAGAGCATCCTGGGAAAGAAACGTCATTCATGATTTCAGCATAACATATAGATCCCTGTGGGTGTTATAGTGTAATGCGCTGCTTATTTTCAGTTTGGTCGTACGTACAATGAGGAATGGAAAGACCAGGCCCATCACTGCAAACATAAACCACCGCTGCAGCCCTGTGAGGACGAGTGATGCCATTCGATTAGACTGAATGAAGAGCTCACTGTTGAGCGTTGGTGTGGCTCCTCCTGTGAGAATCAGAGAAAGAACAGGGAATTGACCTTGTTATCTTTGCATATAGACACGTTTTCCATAACCGCTACAGGTGTGATGTACTGGATACTAAAAACGTTAAGCTACATATGTATAAGTGCTTTACCCTTACCAGGTCCTCCACAAAAGAACACGATGAAGACAACCATCAAACTCACAGTAATGTATGGAACCCAGTAGCTGGAATCCTGTGTGAAAGACAGTTTTAAATGCATATATTTGATTTTGCATCAGATTAATTTCTATATTTCTGCCTTTTATCATCACAGCAGTGATAGCTTATACACATTTTCCCCTTTATGAAACAGGTCATCTTCAGTCATATTGGCAATATTGTTACTAGTGTACTTTCCAGTGAAGGCTACACAGACAGTTGTTGTCCCAACCGTCACAGACATGTACACCTCCAGATGCAGGAAGAGGCCTACCTGTATCATGAAGGACCCCACTCACCAAGCACACACACTCTTTGTCCTGCTCCCCTCAGGCAGGAGGCTGAGGAGCATTAAATGCAAAACTACTAGACAGAGAAACAGCTTCATTCCAGAAGCTGTGAGACTTCTCAATGCATAAATGGACAAGAACTGTTATACTACTGATACTTTACTGACACCATCACTTTATTAATGCTGGTCATCATGCCCTCTTGCTGCTAAAATATTTATACCTATATTTCTATATTTATACTCCATACTGGTACTCAGGTTGTTGCACTCTACTTATATTGTATTATTTCATTACTTGCTATTTGTTAGTTTCTTCGTTATTCTGTTTCTTTTCCCTTCTATGGATAACCGGGACCGTGTGTACGTAATTTCATTCCACCTCATGTAAACGTGTTGCAAATGAAAAGAAAACTTCCTTGATCCTTGATCTTGACGAGTAGAAACGGTGTCATCTGTGATTTTCCAGTCTTTAGGTTTTGTTTAGGTGCCTCTCCTGTGTTCCGTGTTATGCCCACTCTGTGCCTTCCTGTGCCAACGTTTCAGGTCTCTGTGTTCATGTATTTCCTGTTTTACTTTGAAAGTCCGTGTTTTATGTCAGTGTATTCTGTTTTGCTTCCTCCCTGTCTCATCACTTCTAATTAGGTTCAGCTGTATCTCCCTCCTATTCAATTTAATTCAATTCAATTTTTTTTATATTGCACCAAATTACAACAACAGTCAACTCAAGGAACATCCTGTTTGCATTTCCATCGTTACCTTGTGTGTATTTATTGTGTGTGCTTCCCTTTGTCCCTTGTTGGTCCGTCTGCTTGTTTTCTTCCATGTTGCTTCTGTATTTCTTCCGTCAGCTTTACCCGCGTTTCCTGGTCTCTCTTTTCTGGCCTGTGGTTTCCACCCTCAGGTTATATGTTTATGCATAGTTTTTCCCAGTTTAGGTTTTGCTTAGTTTTCTCTGTTCCACCTGTTTGTAGTTTTTGTTCAGCTGTCCATAAAGGCTCGTTTTTTGTTATCATCCACCCTCGTCTCCGTTTGCCTGCACTTGGGTCCTCAGTCTCTTCACACACCTGACATTTGTTGTCTTTAACAAATCAACTGTTTTTGTTTTGCTTTCTTTACATTGCTTTTACTTTTATTAATATTATGTTCCCACCACTGGTAATGGTTTACCTTCAGGTTGAGTGTGACAGTGACAAAAATCCAGCAAGCAGACATGACACCGTAACCGCCGAACAGCAATGGTCTTCTCCCTGTGAGGTCAATGAGAAGACCCTGAAATTGAGGAAGGGAGAAAATAATGACAGACTTGTCATAAGAAGATTGTCTCTAATAGTAGAAATGAAAGGATGTATACACTTAAAATGCTCATTTACACAGATGAGCTCAGGCACAGACTGAGTGTTTGCTTACACAGGTGAGCGAGGTGAGAATTTCAGCCACTCCAAGACCGAGAGTGATATAGCGGATCTTCTTCTTTGGTATACCTGCCTCCAGGAAGATGTCATAAGTAAAGGTACTAATCTGGGAAGAAAAGAGGCACTATTAGGCTATAAACAGTCAGCATGAAATCTGATTTATATTTTAGTCTATTCTGTTGATAGAAACTTGATATGGAAGGAACAATGAAGTCTCATATATACAGATATCAATAGATATATTGATCTGTAGTTATACAGATATGTCATGTATGCATGTGCGTGAACCTCCAAAAGTCACAAAATTGTTGTAATGTATCATTTTGCAATTTAGCAATCCTATATCATATATCATATTGTATCATATGGTATTATACTAATACTATATGGTATTGTTCATACTGTAGACATGCCCGACAGCTGGTTGCAACAGTAGATGGTGGAGATGGTGATGACCTGCCATCGGACAGTCCTGTCTCTCAGCAGCTGCAGAAGGCTCACTGGTGGGGCTGCTTCAATGGCTGCCTGCTCAGTCAACATCTCATCCATTTCTTGTTGGTAGTCACCTTGGCCCCACAGACTCTGGAGAGCTGAAACCAGAAAATCCCAAATCACGGAGGGGATAAGAACTGAAAAATGTGCAACTTTGCTCAAATACAAAACACGCAGGGACTGATTGACTTGTAATTTCACAAGACTATCATTTATCTTTAACTAGTATGTGTTTGTAGAACACATTTTCATAAACATCTGGGGTCGTGTTTGATACATAAACTGCGCAAAGCTACTAACCTTTTTTGCATGCCTTATCATCACCTTTCTCTATGAGTAAATATCTTGGCGTCTCAGGAAAAAAAGGCAACATCACAATCTGAACAAAGGAGAAAAGTGCAGCGACACTAAGGAGAATGTCCCACGTGTCCTCGCGGCCAAGGATCTCGCTGAAAAATCAAAATGAAATGTTGTGTTTAATTTGTAATCTATTGTCATAATATGCTGCAGTAGCTTTTGACAATGGGTTAAAGCCCATTTTTCTTTTTCATATCAACTTCAGGTGCTTACCTCAACCCAAACGCCCGTCCAGACACTTTCCCGAGTGACGTAAAAGTGGCTGAGGTCAGAGTCACTATCCCTCTTATCTTTCTGGGTGAAATCTCCCCAAGATATATTAAGTGAGTGTTCATTCCCAAGCCTGCAGGTCACATAAAGCAAGCATGGTGAGTATAGGTGGTGAAAACATATTAATAAGGAGTCTGTAGAATATGGCAACTTACCTGCTGAGTAACCAAACAGAAATCTTGCCACAATGATCATTTCGAAAGAGTTGACATTTTTACTCGTCAGCATGAATCCTGCTGCAAGAACAGCAATGAAGCTGTTGCAGATCATTGCCTTTTTTCTGAAGAAGGAAAGCTCATGACTTCAGGTCTCCGTAGGCTATACAGCTTGGTACAACATCTGTCTTCATACTCACCTTCCCAGCAAGTCTGAGATAAATTTGACACTGATGGCACCGAAGAGTCCCCCGACAGCAAACATGGAAACAATAAGAGACCAGATCATTGTGACCATCTGCGGATGTGGAGGCTCTCCGTATCTGTCATACCAGCTGTTGTTGATGAAGCACTGGATGTACTGTGGAGATAGATTTAAACTGTTATTAAATGTGATCCAGATAATCGAGACAGAATGGAGAAGAAATGATAAAGGCGACATGTCTCACCGGTGAAGGAGAACTCAGTCCAGTGATATGGAAGCCGACCTGAAAGCTTCCTCCTAATCCCAAAACAAGGATGAGGAATAGAGCGTTGCCATGGGTCTGAAGTAAAGGAGAGAAATCCGATGAATCACTTTTATAAATGTGTTTACTATCACCTGTAAAGATGCTGCCTATATTTTTAAAGTCACAGTCAAACTTTTGGAGAATGGGTATTAACAAAGATTTCAAACATGTTTAACCCTTGTATGGTGTTCGGGTCTGTGAGACCCGTGTTCAGTTTTTTTCAAAAGAAAAATTAAACAATTAATTATTTTTTCACGTGTAAATGTGTTGTGTCTTTCCACTCACTCCACTTGATTATAACTGATTTATTTATAACATTTTATATAAAAGAAAAACGAGAAGCACATTAATTCATAAATGTGATCTAACAAAGGTAAAGGGAAAAAATTAACCATGTTTGCTGTTCATATGTCTTGTAATTGGGATGAAGTAAACATCTGTTGAGTAATTTAACATAAAATTGTTTGATAGTGTTAATTTGGAAAGCCAAAACTCTAGCGGGTCCACCAGACCCATGAACACTGGCTGAGTAACAAAAATACGAACACCACACAAGGGTTAAATGAGTGAGAAAATCTAGATTTTAAAATTGGATTTACTGATTTTTTTTTTAAACACAAGTTGTGAATAAAACAAAGATTAGATTTGACTTAAGTTTACCCTGTCTGATTCATAAACTGTAGCTGTTTCATTTCTAGCTGTGTCTGAAAGTTCACAGAAAAACAATAATAATCACCTTTTTTGAATCTTTTCATGATCACACTTCAGTCATAGATTGTAATCATGCAAATTTGAGCTCAGTGTCATGTTAGCTGTACCAGCGAAATGGTTTAATAACTGAGAGAGTAGTGTGACTCAGCTGAAACTGTGGTTTAGATAACTCCCCTGAGTTCAGGAACTAAAAATAAGCCACTCTGATTTTGTAAAAAATAAATAAATACAATTTAAAAAGAAAATTATCAGCATTACGCATAAAATTAGACATGTGCAATGTGACAGATTTGTCACGAAACATTTTAACAGAAACGTGAAAAGAATATTTAAATTATATTTAAAATCCACATGTACATATTTACAATACATGTACATACAATACATTAACTTTTATGGCGCAAATATAGGAAAAATCTTACCAGCTGCTGAAACAAAGTTTCCATTCTCTTGATACACGGACCTTAACAGCACATATGTCCTAACAGTGGGGACACAGTTCAGTGTTTCACCCTGCTTATTATTAACTTTTCAGAAATAAAGTAACTTGGTGTCATCACACCACCCTGACAATCACTGGATCATTTCTAACTTGCAGCTATTTCAGACTGAAAACAATATAAACTGAATGAGTTCACAGTCACACGCAAGCTAATGTATAGATTTAACCATAATGTCAAATAAGGACATTATCAGTACATATTTGTACACAACACTGGTGCTGCATATGTTTTTATAAGTGATTCGTCCTATTGCCAGTAGCTTGATTTATGTTTTTCTCTCTGTTCCTGTTTCTTCTTATTCTTCTTATTTAAATCACGTGGAAAGATAAACTCTATTATTATCAGGCCAGCAGAGTTTAGACGTAGACTAAGAACTGTGGCTGTCTATGAACATTTGAAAAAGGAATACACTCAATAAATTAATTAATTCTTAATTCTCATTTAAACTTGCAAAAAAACAAACAAACTCCCCAAAAAAGCCATCAGTGCAATCCAGCTATTATGCAATATAGTATCATGGCTCCAGCAATAAGTCATCCAATACTTTTCTCAGTCCAATGAGGCACAAATGATTGAAAGATGCACCACAAAGTCTTACATAATGTTCAAACATGTTTTGTTCTGTTGGTCACTGTTACGTCCCTCTGCAGCCCCTAATCTCTTCAGTGGGTTCAGCTGTTGCTAATTGACCACACCTAGTCAGGTGTGGATAAAAGGATACCTGTGATGCCGTGATTTTGTTTCCACGGTTTTCTTTAGACATGTCAATTTGTGGCAAACTTGCTATCAGGCTTGGCTGGGTTTGTACACCTCAGAGTGTATATATAATATAACCTCAAAGGGACTATTTTGTTAAAAAAGAAACTTCAGCTGCTTTGACAATAGGAGACAATTAGGATAAAAGTAGTTTGTTTGTTTGTTTTTTTTTGAAGAAAGAAGAGCCATATACAGCAACAGCTCTTGGTGTTATGGCAGTGTGTTAAGTGCAGCAAGCATAATAGCATCCAGACTATTTTGTCCTTTTCTTATATGTTTTGTCCTTTTTTTCTGTTTCTGATTGAAGACAGTGATCAGATTGTTTTCACACGTGGCTCTGCTGCCACCAACAGATCAAGAATTGAGGCATTTTTATGCATGATACTTTTGACCACATGCTTTATAACCAAGATGGACATGACCTCCTGGTCTGAAAAAAAAAACCTTCCTTTGGTCGCAATTTATAGAAGTCTATTATAAAACACCAACCTCATTTTGGCTGCTCCCTTATTCACAAGTGGTCGCCACAGTTAGTAGCTCCCCATACTTAATTTGGCAGATTTGAATGATGGATGCCCTTCCTGACACAACCCTAGGTATATTTGTCTTATTCTGGGGTTAGATTGGGGATCTTTCGTCTGTTGGTCAAATGTGTAAGTTGTTAAAATGTCAATTATGGTTCCATGTTGAGTAAAATACATGATAAAACAGGATATGCTCCAGGGTTTGTGATCGACATGTTGCTATTCATACTGTATGTCTGTGATTTTTCTAAACTTTATATGCCACGTAAAGATCAAGAGAAACTTATTCATGCATTCATCACTTCAAGACTAGATTATTGTAACTCTCTTTACTTGGGCCTCCAATCTTCCCTCCTTCATCGATTGCAGTTGGTCCAAAATGCTGCAGCATGTCTCTTAACTGGCACTAGAAGGTATGAATCTAATTGTTTACTTATAAAATCCTAAATAATATGGCACCTGATTACTTTGGGGATCTCCTCTGTCTGTTCGCCTAAGAAAGCACTAAGATCATCGGGTCAACTGCTCTTAGTGCAACCTAGGTCTCGGCTGAAGACCAGAGGACACCGTGCCTGTGCTGCCGCACCCAAATTATGGAATAATCTTCCTCTTGACATTCGGGCATCAGATTCTATTCAATCTTTTAAATCATGTCTAAAAACGTACGTGTTTAACCTGGCATTCAAGGCGAATTAGTGTAATTTTCATCTGGCTCTGCATTTATATTATGTAATTACTTTATATCTGTAATTTAGATTTTATATTGTGATTTTATCTGTATCATGGTTTTACTGGAAAGCACTTTAGTGTACTTTGGTCTTTAAATGTGCGATACAAATAAATTTGATATGATATGATATGAGATCCCGTTTCAAGAAATGAGGCTTCATGATTGAAGGATTTATATTAATTAATTAATTACTTAATTTATTTGTTTTTACATTAGACATTCTTTTAGTCCCTGAATCAGCCCAGGTTAAACAAATAGCTCTTTCTGTATTACTGATCTACTACATCACATGCACATTTATTACACTAATTCATTAAAAATAAATAATTAAAACTGGAAATGAAAAACACATAATTTATTCAATGCTATAAATGAAATGAATTGACATTTAATGAATGTATTATATAGTTAATAAAATAATTATTTCAATTTTTTATTAATTAATAACACATTAGATGGATTATTTGATGACATATTTATTGAATTCATTTTGGCACTCGTGGCTCTCCATGCTTATTAGTTTACAGCCATAAGGACTTTTATTGATTTGGATGCATCCTTCTTCCTTTGGTTCCTTTTAGCTTTAGTGAGAAGTTTTAAGAACAACACAGGTTGTGATGTCCGTTTATATGATGTGACCTCCATAATGGATTTTGTTAATAGTCCTAATAAAAATCTAACATGTCACAATGTTTTGTGACTCTTCATCAGAACCTGAAGCTGTTTAAAACCAGTGGTGAATCTGCCCGACTGAGCTAATTTCCCTAAATATTTTATGTGACTGATATTAAATTTGGCGGCCACTGATCCATTGACATTGTCATTAAAAAAAAATTACAGATGAATTAGCTAACACAGCAACAACCAAAAGCACAGAGCGAGCAACTACTCTTTTTAACATGATATAAATATGATATGTTGATTTTATTATTATTAGTATTTCTAACCCGTTTTGAACAGAAAAAAATCAGAATAACCTTCTACACATTTTATTGGGCAAGATTTCATTTTTTATTCATACATTTTCATCACTGTCCTTGTTCTTATTATTGCAGGCAGAGCAAATCAAATTGAATTCCTGGCCTGTGAGTTTTCCTCACCTCCGTTGGGCTCTTTGAGTGGCTGTGGATGGCTGGTTATGATGATGTACATAACAAGTGTCTTCTTCCTTATCACAAACCAACAGCTGCTAGCAGCCACGGGGTCTTCATTAGCTGTTAATAACACTCTGCCCACAGTTCAGCACTCTGGTGGTCCACGTTGTGATTGGCAGTATCCTGGCTGGGCTGATCATTCTGAAACGATACCATGCTGTGCTTTGATAACAACGAGGGAGGAGTAATTAAACAACTAATTGGAGCAATCTTTGTTAACATTTCTTACTTGCAGAGCTATTTTGAAATATTCACGTCAGCAGGTGGCGATATTAGCTTTCTGCTGGGAGGCAGTAACTCGACGGAGCATGCACACCAACCCAGTGCAGTTACTGTAGCCCAGAGCAAACAGGACAAATGAACTAAATCTGGTTTTCATAGATGCTTAAATTGAGGTAAATAAAGGCTTTACATATCTATTATCATTTATTGTCATTATAGTTAATTAGTAAATAAATATTTCAGACATTTTTGACCCATTGATCAGAGAGAATTCACTGTTCATCAGCACATGTCAAATTCTCCACTTGCAACTGTTTCCTCTGTGTCTGATTGTTTCTGAGATGTGTGGAGTTCAAAACGTAGCTTGGCCACTTAGCGATACAGTGTGCCTCTTTTGATGTTTTGACCGTGGTGTTTTTGCCTATAACTTCATTGAAATTCAAAATGGTTAATTCACATACATCCGTCTTATTCATATTACGTATCTAATGGGGAAAAAAGAAGAGAAAGCTTTTCATGGTTTACACTTAAGCATTAACTATTAAGTAAATCCTCCTCCAGCAGAGCAACAATGCAAATTGAAGAAGGGGTGAAATGAGGGCCATCGTTCAGCCATCACTCTGCCTGGCAACACTGAGCTCACAGACAGTACTGCAAGTCAGAGTAGAGTGAACACAGCTGCATGTGTTACAGATTAAATGAATCATTGTCTTATAAGTCTCAAGATTTTGGGACAAGCTGGTTTCTCCAGGTTTGTTCTGTCTGAGTCATGTGGGTAGATTTATTAACCTCCTAGGACCCTCCGTCCACATATGTGGACATCGCATTCTTGGTTATTTAGAACCAAATCCTCAATTTTGCTCTACAAGGGCCTGATATCCACTTACGAGGACATTATACTGCTACTGTTCTATTGAAATTTTAAACGAATATCCTCATTTGTGGCTCTCATTTATCTTAGAAACAAATATTGGGCAAAAAAAAAAAATCCGGTACTTCTTTGTTTTTACATTCATCGGGCCCCAATCAGCCCAAATATCAAAGAGAAATTAAAAATGCATGCCGTGGAAGAGTTCGGGTCGTAGGAGGTTAAATGACACAATGCTTTTTAGTGCATGGCCTGAACAAAAAACATTCCACCTGATTAAACTGACCATTGTGTGTGAAGATTATCTACTTTTTCTAAGTGGAAGAGAATGAGGAGCGGATGACAGGGGAATTAGCAGGTCATACCGATACCAGTCTCTCGCTTTACCGAAGGACAGCTTCAGTTCGTGTTAACAAAACCTGCTCAACAACTGTGTACAAGAAGCTTTTCACTTTACAAATAGTGTCAGACTGCAGTTGTAACACTTGCTTGCTCTGTCCTTGCAATAAGGTCATTAACAATAAAAAACCCCCCACATAGTTTGTTGTTCATAGTCAAGCACATTGATGGACTTTTAATGTGCAGTAATCGACTTTCTTTTAATGCATACAATGGCAGTGAATGTATTGCATAGTGGAAAATATGGGAAATTTTGATGGATGTTGTGTCTGCATTAATTAAATGAAAAATGTATTTCTATTTAACGTTTATTCAACTTATTTTTATATTTGCTAATCTAATGTCATTGTATTTTTCTTTTATAATGATGATAAAGAACCCTGAATCTTGTATCCAGTTTACACCTGAGGTTGTCCAGATCGGCCATTTCTGCAATAAAATCTGCAATGTCGGCAGAGACTTGCCACCAGACTACACATTTAGAGGATAGTTTAAAAAGCACATTTTGCGGTGAACCACTCTGGACTGCCTTCCCCTTCATGGTCTCGTCCCACTGGTGGAGCGAGCTCATCAGCTAGTATTTATTTCGCCAACTGCCATTTACATGCAGTGCGTAGAAAGCGGCAGTGTTTGTCTGAAAAGGGGCTTTCCTAGCTCCAAGACCACCTATGCTTCAGATACAGCTGAAGGCCTAATCAGTCTATCCATCATCTGGGCTAAACAGAGACAGAAAAAGATGTGGGTAATAGGAAAATGAAGAGAGAAAGGGCAGTGAAGAGATGAACACAAGCATTGAGCTTAAATTGTGTTGATGCAGGATGCATTAAGTGTTGCTTTCAGAGGGAACTTCCTACAGGTGGCATGCAGATGGGATCCCTCCTGGGAATTATGCTTCTTAATGAGT